GACTATTTTGTGGCATAAACCTGAGTCATTACGGTTTTTGGGCTAAACGTTTAACCGTTAAATGTATACGGGCGGTTTCGTTTAACCGTTTTGAAAATACACATATTTTTGAAGATGAAGACACATTGTTTTTAGATCTCCGTAGGGGCAACTAAGTCTTGCCGATTATTATTGTTTTTAGATCTCCGTACGGGCAACCAAGTCTTGCCGATTATTATTGTTTTTAGATCTCCGTACGGGCAACCAAGTCTTGCCGATAATTATTGTTTTTAGATCTCCGTCGGGGCAATAAAGTCTTGCCGATAATTATCGTGTTTAGATCCCCGTCAGGGCAACAAAGTCTTACCGATAATTATTTTTTTTTAGATCTCCTTAGGGGCAACAAAGTCCTGCCGACAATGTGGCATCAACAATAATCAACATCAAAACTTAACCGAAGATTAAGATTTGAATTTTTGTCATAATTTTGAATGTAAACATTCCTATCCCATGAAATTTAAACATAAGGGTTATCAAGTATCACCAATCATGTGCTTAGTCTTTTAGTTGACAAAGTCAAGGGCGGATGTAATTTTTGGTCTGCAAGCTGAGACTTGGTTGTGGCATCAACTTAAATCTTTTAAATTTTTAGCATAATTTCAAAAGTATTTGTTCAAATTCCATAAAAATTGTACTCAAGGGTTATCAAGTATCACACATCACGTGACACAAATTCCTGGTCACATAGTCAAGGCCAGAGGTCATTTCAGGTCAATAGACTTGGATTATGTTTTCACAACTCAATATGAGAATAACTAGATTAATTTTTGTTATTTTTTCATATATTATTAAAGTTATCAATCTTGGTACAAATAATAGTAGGCCTGCTTGAACCAACCGGCCTATAAATAATGTCCCAACCTCAATTTTTCATCATATCAAATTGCGTGATGCAGGCGAGACCACAGAGAGCGTTTCCCTTGTTTTTGTATAGGCCTGCATTATAACATGCCATCCCAAATATTATGATCTTTTCATCTCTACACTGTAGCATATCTTACCTTTAGTTAACATGCTTATATTTTATACATTGTGAGTTGCATTTCTATTAAAAAAGACATATTCTTACATACATGTATCAATATTGTTATTTATTCGAATGAAATAGAATATTGTATTATAATCGGTGAAGAATAAGATACCATAAGATATACATATACAGTGTACTGTCTAAGATTGTTATAATTTATTTAAATGCATAACTCTTTAACCCACCAGGGGAAAAAATATTTAAAAAACCTTTTTTAAAAACCCATGGAAGCCATACAAATCCTATCTTTTCATCGCAACATCTAAAACCTTTTCTATCTTTCGTTCTTTCGTATTATTTACAATTTCTCTCTCTATCTATCTCTTTATCTCTCTTTCTCTGATTTCCCACTTTCTCAATCATTCGTTTTCCCACTGTCTTTGTCTCCCTCTCATTTCCCCCCTCTCTCTCTCTCATTAATTTCCCTCTGTCTGTCTGTCTGTCTCTCTCTCTCTCCCATTCCTTTTCCCCACTGTCCGTCTCTCTCTCTCTCTCTCTCTCTCTCATTTTCCCCTCTGTTTCTCTCATTCATTTTTCCAAATGTCTGTCTCTCATTTCCCAATTGTCTGTCTATCTCTCATTTTCCTCACTGTCTGTCTCGCTCATTTTGCCCAGTGTTTCTCTCTGTCCCCCCCCCCCCTCTCTCTCTCTCATTTACCCTCCCCCCTCATAGTCCCTCTCTTTCTCTCATTCTCGCTTCTTTTCGACACCCCGCTTTACTTATAATGATTGAGCAACATTTAATGGAAGAAGTACGAACAACTGCAGTCTAATGTACATTGTAAGGTACATGTACAATGTACTTACATATTTATTTCTGACCCAGTACAAGTAATGATAACATTTCTATATCACAAAAATTGCCTCTTGACTGCTTACTGAGTACAAACTATAGTTAGATTTGGATTTCACTATGGTTATCGAAGTTCTTCCTCCAGTTCAACCCAAGATGCTTAACTTAATTGAACCTCATATCTATATTGAAGAAGAAGTCTGCTATGAATCAATAAAATTGTTTAAATATATTTCATCAATTTATTACTTGGCTTCAAGTATGTATTGACATTATATCTGTGTTTTTTAAAGACGCTACACTATGACAAATAACATCACCTAATACAACACTGAACTAAAAGTATCAAGATTAATGTAAAATCACTCAAAATCACAATAAGTGGCAAACATTCTACTTTCTGGGTGAAATCTGTGGATCGTTTTTACGGCCACGAAAAGGCGCTATAAGTACAAATCATATTCTACAGATTCCATGCAAAAGTTACCATGACTGTCCTCTTAAAGGCTAAGTCCACTCCAAAAATATTTTGCAGAAAAAAGAGAAACAAGGCAAAACAAATTTTAGTAAAATCGGATGACTAATAAGGAAGTAATGTGAATTTTTGAAAAAGTGTGAAAAACTATGGAACAACGGAAATCACTACTGATTTGGTTATTAGTTTGTGACGTCATTTCCTCACTAATTATCAATTACTTTATATTGTTTTATCCCATTAATTTCCCTTTTTATCCCTTAAAAAAAAAAATCTATTTGTATTATTATTTTAGACCTATTATTATCAATATTATTATTACTATTACTCTCCTCTTCCTCTTCCGTCTTTTTCATGTGCTTCAACAAATTATTGAAAAGGCTCATGCACATTTCAAGAAAGTAGTGTGTTTATGAGTAACCACCGTAGAGATAAACCGATAGTCTTACGCGTGTGTCGAAAAAATATAATCAACGATAACCCCCAAATGACACTATACGACACCATTGTGATCCAAATTTTTGAAGATATCGCAATAAAATTGAAATTTTCACGGGAAATTATCTTCCTAACTGCAGTTAAGAATACTAACTGAATGCAGTTCAGAATACTAACTGAATATTAATCTATCTACACACTTGTGTGTATATAATACACAACACGATCGGTATTGAAGTCTTTCGAAAAATAAATAAAGGCTATCGAAATTGCCTTCATAGATTGATCTTCAAAATTGTATATATCTTATCAAGGTGAAAAATAAGTACTGTATGTAATCGACGTAGACACATGCATTTTACAATTCTTTTGATTCACTGAAACATTATCACTAATGTTTTTTGGACATTCATATTAATGCAATTTAAAAAAAACCTCGCCCGTCACTTATTGACATAAGTGCACTCTAAACAATGAAAAATGGTTTCTTTAGCATATAATTATGATAGAATATTGAAATTGTCCTTGCTTTGCATATAGCTCCGTTTAGTCTCGTTTGAGAACGTCCCTATCGGCAGAGCCCAGCAGCCTAACCTGTACGTTAGCCTATGGACTTTTACCCAAAACAAAAATCCTTAAAATTCATTTTTTGTTTAAACGAAAAGCACATCTACTCCGACGACGTTATCACTACTTCTTTCATTGGAACCCTCTTATATCCCATTGACTTTTGAAAGGTCACCCACCGTAATTTGATCAAAATAGGTCGCAAGCTCGTCATTGCCTATATAACACATGTACAACAAGTCGAACTTTGGACTCAATTTACCAAGCGATTGTAAGGTTATAAGTCAAGCACACGAAGGATAAGAAGCATAAATTATCATAGATCAGTTCTGATTTGTTTATTATGTCCATTTCATCCATCCCCCCCCACCCCCACCGTAATTTTTCCATTTAGTATAGGCAAGCATTTTGCCGAGGTAAGCAAAACATGCATGAACACCATGGACTATTCGATTATTAACAGAGGGGTGCAATTGTGCACCACATCAAACTCCCCTACTTTCAGTCAAGTATTTCATTGTATTATGTAGTTTGGTAGGTTTATTTTACTAACTGTTTAATTATCAGATATCAATGATAGGTTAAAGATATGGAAAAGATTCTTGTATTTTATATTTAGCAAAGCAATCTCACATACAGAATTACTATCAAGTGTCTAGCTACGTTTGTGCTGGCGAAAATGAGACAACCGGAGCAAGATGATGTGTTGAAAGTCTTCAATAGCGCGCAATTTTCACATTCATTTTAATTTCATGATCATTCGTCGCCGTTGACGGCCATCGAATTAATGTTGTTCCAAGTTTGTTTGTTTGTTTTTTCTCTAAAAAGAGAGAAATAAATAACAGCAGTTTCATCCACAGTATTGACTTTCCTCCTTCCCTTAAACCTTTACCTTCTGCCAGTCAGGACCGATATTGATTTTCCACCATCGCAACAACAACAACAACAAAAAAACATATATATTTGTATAGAATTTTAAAACTTATAATTATAATCGAACTATCTACACGTGTCTCCACGCGTAAACCACCGCAAAAAAATTGTTGTTGTTGCGTGTAAATGAAATGAAACTGTATGCAACAAAGGATTTGTGCCTATTCAATGAGCTCTGTGTATTATGATACAGATATGTGAAGCGTACGTTTACGTCCTCATAATAAATTTTAAAAAACGCCGCCATTTTGACGCACCTCTGAACGAGCCTTGATGGGAATGATTTTTCCCTATTGCGACAAGACATGGTGGCATAATTATGCTGAGTAGGCTCCCCTTTGGCTGGGCCAATAGAGTCAATCTTTAGTTTGCTTTTGTGGTGAAGCGGAAAGTTGATTTTGATTCTGTTTGGATGCGCGTTAGACAAACGGAATATCATCAGTCATCAGAATTTAGATATATACAATTATCTACATCTAGTTGCATTTCTAATGAAATAAATTCTGAACCGCCCTTTCACTTAGTTGTATGAAATATATTTGAAAGACAATAGCTGTAATATTGCGTTTGAAACACTGTAAAAACTTCTTTTATTAACAAATACATCCATACCCATTATTAACCAACGTTTACAAGAATAGAAAAGTAAGATTAAAGAAACTAGGAAAAAGAGATAAAATAAAAATTCAGGAGTAAAAAAGTGACAGAAAGAGGTTTTTTTTTAAAAATCAAAAAAACGTTGTATTTTATTACCTATAGATGGCTAGTTGTGAAATGCGCACGCGTGTGCGTTCAAAGTAATTTTTTTAGAAGATTCAAGTAGTTCCCTCCCACATAAAATATGGTACGGAAATAAATAAATCAAATAAAATCAAATCAAATTTAATATTCAGACGATAAGATTTTGACCTTTGAACAGAGCGGTGTGCTGTTGACACAACTTTATCCTCTATTAGCTATGATTGTTTCAAGTCAAATATTTCAAGTCAAATAAAGTACAAAATGGTACAACACTCTTATTATACCTCAATATACACGAAATGACAATGTTATTCTTTAGGGCACATGTAAGACAGTAATGTACGCATTCCAGTAGATATAATCCCCTGGCCTGGATGAATGGCATCCACATTTGAAAATCCTACAACCATCGACCACTGGTCTATGAATCCAATTTTCTTATCGTAGCTCTTGAATATTTCCCGAAGCTTCATGTCCAGTTCTCGCGCGTACCAATCGCTTACCGTTACAGACGATCCCGCGCTCCCGTGCGAACGGGTATTCGCGCTTTTGATGACGACAAGCGTCTCGGGACTACGGCGATGCAATCTTTCCACCGCGGCCTTTATCCTCCTCACTCGATGCTCATAGAAACTCATGTTTAAGGTGGTTAGATGCGCCCAAATTGTAAACACGTAGACTGTATCCGGTGTCGCTTGTAGCTCATCAAGAGCTTCCTCAATGTACTGCACTTCGGATGCATCCGTCCAGTTATTTCGGATCGGGTATCCGTGATGGCGATAGTGAACCGTAAAGTTGTTTACTTTGTCTTCAGCCATTGAAGGGCCAACCTTCCAATTAGATTGTAAAGTAGGCGGATTCGGTTTAAGGGAACTCTTTAGACTGATCACGAGGTATTCGTAATACTGTCTCGTGGTGGAGTCACCGTGGAAATACAGGGTTTTATTGGTGAGGCATTTCAACGAACTGGGGATTACAAAGCTACGAAGACGGCAGTAGTTGGAATACCAGTGTCCTTTGAAGAAGTAGCCCGCTGCCATGGGGTAAGAAAGACTGTGGGAACCTACGGCGCACGGAGGTAACCTCTCGTTAGAGCAATGAGCTGGATTCGATATATCTGAAAGGCAAAACAAAAATTGTCACTATCTAATTTAAACATGATGGATTTCAAACGAATGAAGGAAAAGAACGAACAGTACTTTATAATACCAATGTGATATATAAGGCCATTAAAAAAATAAACATGTTTAGCGTCCCCGCCCGCTACCTTTTGGGGAAGCCGCCTCCTATTTTTTTTTTCTTTTAATTGTTTTGATTTTTTTGAAAGAAAAAAAACATGAAAAACACTGCTAAAATGGATCTATTTCTGATTTTAAAAAAAACTTGTCGGCGGCCATCTTGAATGGCCGACTGTCAGGGAAAATGTACCGAGCGGCCATTTTGAGCGGCCATTTTGAAAGGAAAAAAAAAGGGGGCCTCCTCCTTCCTATTTTTCCAAAAAACACGGACGCTAAACATGTTTTTTTTTTTTCTTCTTTGGTCTAAATATCATTGTAATGAATTCGTAGTCGAATGGTTTAATAAGCACTTGACTTGAAATGCAAAACTCGTGGGTTCGATCCCCGACACGGCACTAATGTCCTTTGGCAAGGCATTAATCTACACTTGCCACTCCATACCCAGGAGATAAATGGGGACCTGATGGTAGGATGACGAAAGCCTTTGTGTTATTGTGAAATGTACTCGCGGTGACCATCATATGAATTTGTTGTGTTCTCCTGTTACCGCCCTGTCAACGTGTTTTCCAGATAACGAACGAAGCGAAAAGGGCAGTTTTTTCCTCTTTTCGCGTGGGTTTCTTCGCAGTGAGTATGGGCTGTATAAGTTCTGAACCAACTATTCATTGATTCAAATGTTTCTGTTTTCCCATGTTTATCTGTATTAATATTCAGATTCATTCAGATTAAGTTTATGAATGCTATTTTATGTATGTTGTTACGAATGAACGTCCTTGTACATTACGCGTTAACCCTTTTCTGTGAATTGAACATGCAACCCAGTCCTTTAATGGTCGAGTGTACAGCAATATCAGGGGCGGATCTAGCTTTTTGCTAAGGGGGGGGGGGGGGGGGGGGGGGAGGTTTGACCCAATGACGATCCACGAGCGTTTTTTTTTATTTGGCGGCCTAAGGGGGGGGGGGGGGGGTTTAAACCCCCTAACCTCCCCCCCCCCCCCCCCCGTAGATCCGCGCCTGAATATAATAATAATAATAATAATAATACACTTTTTATATAGCGCTTACTGCAATCACTAAGCGCTTCCAAATTTGGAAATTTTTACCTCGGCTTTAGCTGTGCTGCCATATACGGCGCTCTAGCATTTCAAAGAATTAATTCCTGCCAGGTACCCATTAACATCACCTGGGTTGAGTATGGCAAATGTAGATCAATGTCTTGGGGTCAAATCTGCCGAAGTTACAGTGACGACATTACATGTGGACCGTATCGGTTCACCTATATAGCTGAGGCGATGAGCCGTGCTTAATTAATGCAAAGTCATTGTGAATATGCGTACTTCACATAAGATGATGTCATCAAGTCGATACCAAGTTCTTAGGTCGTCAACTTCTGATTTTCAAAGCTTTGGATCTTGAGTTTTCAGAGAGCTGATACTCCTCTGACAGACACTAAAATGGCATATAATTGAAATTATTGTAATCTATGGCTTATAATATAAGCTCTCCGTTGATATATAATCATTCATTTAATCTTTTCAATTCGGATATGGTGTTTAAGGATAAATATGATCACATAGACGATGAAAGGTTGGTGAAAGATTAAATCTGTTTCATGAACTGGTTGTGTTAAATACATGTGTAATAATCAAACTGAGGGTGTTACTGCAGTATAAATATTTTCTTTAGAGAGAATGACATTTTATGAACTTTTCTCCTATAGGGTAATCGTGAAGAGCACTTGAAAAGTATGACATGGAGTTGCCAATTAGCGTTTTATCTATGATGACTTTAATGATTTAGTTTCTAGAATTGTACCTGATTCTCCTCAAACCTTTATAATTGATCTGCTTCTTTGTTTTCTTTCTTTGTTTACAGTAAACGAAATTTCAAGGTGGACTTCCCTTCAAACAATGATCTGACTTATTGTTTACACTCACTTTTTTCTTGCTCAGTCACTGTTACAAAGTTGACTCCTCGCACTGGTATCGGTTGCTTTTGCCTGTGAAAATATAGAAATATATAACGTGGAAATACACTTAAATTAGCACCAATAAATACAAATTACCTGAGTGCTGAATCAGACATGTTGACCGATTCTCGCCTCGAGGGTACAGTGGCTGGTATATAATTAATCATATTAACCCGTTGCTTACTGGGACCGGGTGGTTAATGTATTAAACCTATGGAGAATATGAGAATTCAGTAGGCGATTGGTTAAATGACAACACAACAATTCTTTAAAACTACCCAAGACAAAAAGGTGAGTTATTGAGTAATTCAATGTAATGGATTGCGCGATGACATTTAAAGCCCCACTGTCCTACTTGTAGCTACTTGCTCCCTCTATATAGAGAACTTCCCAATCGGTGCCTGTTGGTCCCCCATGATCCTCTTTTTCTTATGTTAGTTGAGAGCTGAGTTAATGAGATAGTCACCTGTCAGTGACCTCGCTGTGTGGTCTAATCCCTTCTGGCCCAGTAGTATTGACGGTCTTTAAAAACTCTATATCCCTCCACTGCCGTCAGTCAAATATGAATTCTCTTAGCTTTTGTCCTAGCCCAGTGATCGCTCTAAATGACCGCCTTTTTTTATATGTGATAGTATGATTAGTGTGGGTATTACCCATGACAAGCAAATTAATTTGAACAAAAAATCGTCACGGGCATCCGGAGGTAAAAAATCCCCAAAACTTTACAGGGAGGTAGATGGTCTGTACAAATACACCCCTGCCAAACTCCTACCTTGAAAATGGGGGTGTATTTGTAAAAGCCATTCTCTCCCCCCCCCCTCCCTTCTGCAAACAAAACAGAAAACAAGGTTATTTAATAAAAGGACCATGCGACAAATAGTCATCGTGATTCAAATTGATGCAAGAATTTTTTTGAATAAGCAATGCTTTTCACCAGAATCTTCTTTGTAAAAACGACTTTTACAAATCTCAGCCATGCAATTCTGCCACTGTGCTGTAAGATCACTTTGAGATTAGGAGAAGTGTATTATGTAATGGGTATTTTAAATTGAATGGAACGTCTCAACTCAGTAAGCATGGCTTAGATTTGTAAAAGTTGTTTTTACAAAGAAGATTCGGGTGAATAGCAGTGCTTATTCAAACAAATATTCGCACAATTTGAATCACAATCATTATTTGTCGCTTAATCCCTTTTAATGACCTTGTTTTCTTTTTCGTTTGCAAGGGGAGAAGAAGATATGTCACGTTAAAGACATCATAAAGATCAGTGTTGTATGCGTATATATTATATACACAGGCCAGTAACAGCTATGTAGCTTGTAAATTTGTAAGAGGGAAAATGCTGATTGAAATGATAATGATGAAATAGCAAATAATTGAGGAGTATCATAGGTACCAATTCAATGGATATTTGTATAAAAAAAGAGCCCCGTCAGTAATAAAAGAGCCCCCGTGAGAAGGCTCACGGGCGCTCTTTTTTTTTTGGGGGGGGGGGAAGAGCCCCGTGGACAAAAAATTAATTTGAGCCCTGGGAATATCCCCTATCCTCTTGGAGTCGCCCGCGCTTACCTTCCAAATAAACTCTCTTCATCCTTTGTCAGCATGGCAGATCGGTAAAGAGCCGCTGAGTATATCCTGTTGCCACAAGTCCAACCAAAGTCTGAACAAGTCAACTTGGTCTTGGTTGGCGCTGTACAGAACCACGGCTCTGCTATCGCATGTCTTGTTAAATCACATATGGTTGCCTGTTTGGTGGGAAGGAGGGGAGAGGAAAGAAGACAGAAGGAGAGAATGAGAGAGAGTATGTGTGTGTGTGTGTGTGTGTGTGCGTGTGAGAGAGGGAAAGAGAGAGGGAGAGAGAAAGAGAGCGAGAGAGAGAGAGCGAGAGAAAGAGAGAGAGAGAGAGAGAGAGAAAGAGAGAGATGTTATCCATACTGTTTTACCCGGAGATGTATTCCGTTTTGATCTAGTTAATGAAGAACAAGTTTTAAATGTTATTAAGAATTTAAAAGATAAGAAGGTCTGTGGTCCAGATAATGTACTAGCTGAATTTTGGGAAATTATAATGACTTATATTCTCAAGCCTTTAACATATATCATAAATTTGTCTTTTGAGCAAGGTGTTGTCCCTCTACAATGGAAAATGTCTCGTGTTACTCCAGTTTTTAAATCGGGAAAAAAAGTCTGATATGAACAATTATAGACCAATATCAATTCTTCCGGCGATAGCTAAAATTGTTGAAAAATTTGTATTTGATCAACTTTACGGTTATATGGATCAGAACGGAATTATAAGTTGCAATCACTCAGGTTTTCGCCCGAAACACTCTACAATGAAATCTCTATTGAACGTCACGGAAGACTGGCTTGATAGTTTAGATAAAGGTAATCTTGTAGGCGTGGTGACCTTGACTTAAAAAAGGTCTTTGATACAGTAGACCACTCAATTCTTTTAAATAAGCTTAGGCTTATTGGCTTGAATGTAATGTCATTACAGTGGTTTAGTAGCTACTTAGCCAATCGCATGCAATACATTTGTGTAAATGGGGTTCATTCCAATTCACAAAAGATGCAATGTGGAATACCGGAGGGGTCAAATATTGGCCCATTGTTATTTATCCTGTTTATTAATGATATGCCTTTATGTCTGAAAACATGTAAAATATCTTTATATGCTGATGATATGGGTCTATATTACGCTAGTGCAAATCATCAAACTCTTACCGAATCATTAAATGCAGGCTTATTACTTATTGATATTTGGTTAAAAAGGAACATACTTGCTTTAAATGTGCCAAAATGTGAATTACTTTTTATTGTAACGAAGAAACGGCTAAAAAATATTATGGTACCAGATGTTTACATACAAAATGTTTCTCTCAAACGTGTAACCCACCGCAAGTATCTTGGATTAGTTATTGATGAACATTTGGATTGGGGTAAACATATTGAATATTTAAGTATAAGAAGGTATTAAAAAATAAAAATTTGTTGAAAAGACATTTGTTACATAGCAAACTGCACTTATATTTTATAAATCAGTAATTCAATGTATATAAGTTTGATTACTGTAGTGCAATTTGGGGGAATGCCAGAAAAGAAAGTTTAGACAGTTTGCAAAAGCTACAGAATAGGACCTTCCGGGTGGTACTTCAAGTTGAATGGAGGTTCCCAAGCCGAGATTTATTTCTTTGTCTGAAAACAGAAAATCGATCAAAACGGAGAGATGAAAATGTTTTATGTATTTTGTATAAACTAGTGCATGAAATGATATATGGTGGGTTTAGAAAGTACTTTGTTATTAAAGAATATCATTATAGCTTGAGAAATGCTTATAAAACCTTAGAACTGCCAAAACCACATATGAATTTTTTTAAAAAGAGCTTATGTTATAGAGGCATTAAATCTTGGAATCAGCTACCCATGAACGTAAAAAATATGTCTTTCTCTGTATTTAAATCAAGGGTAATATGAATATTAATTTTATATTTTGTTTGCTTAAATATCTATTTATATAACTATAACAATCTAAAATAAATGCTGTCTGGAAAAAATAACTGCCGACGAGGGGGGGGGGGGGTGGGTAGTAGTATCTTGGTTTGTAAATTTTCATTTTTCTTTGTATACTTATGTTTTTTGTTTTTGCTTTTGTTTTTTAATATTTCATATGCTATGATATGTGTTATCTTATTGTACATGTAATTTTTATATTGCGCACGGACCAACAGAAGAACAGCCTTTGGCTGAAGTTGGTGCCGTGCAAAAAATATAATAAACTGAACTGAAACTAAACTGTGTGAGAGAGAGAGAGAGAGAAGGGGTAGGAAGAGATGGGAGAGAGGGGAAGGACAGAGACTTGCCGAAAACGTGACGATCGTAATCACAAACCCTGCAGTTAGTGTAGAATCAAATGTGTGACGTTACTTGCGCCCCCCCAACCCCTATATTTTCCTTAATAAATTATATAATAATTGCAAATATGTTTTTATACAACTCCTCACTCCTGTATGTAATATATATTCCGTCATAATTGACTAGTTTCAAGTTTATGAAATGTGTTGTACAGAGCAAATTGAAAAGAAGCTCTCATGATAAGTCACAGTGTTGCTAATTTGTCTTTAACTAATGACAACTTCAAATCTTCATAACCTTCCTGTTTCTAATCGGATTTTGCTCGAACTTCCACTAATATGTTTCACTCATTTTTCTGGAACTTAACACAAGGGTGGACTTCCCTCTTAAAAGGTGTAGTTTTATCACAGAGCGAAGGTAAACTCTAAAAGCAAATGAATAAACAGCAGGTGCTGTGGTCTAGTGGTACATTAACCCGCACCCACAGGCGCCGGAAGTAGGGGGCAGGGAAGGCGCCCCCAACCAACGAAATGAGAGGGAAACGCATTTTCGCCCCCCCCCCCCCCCACAGTGATTTACAAATGTTCCTGAAATGACATGATTTTCCGGTATTTTTTTGTTGTTTTTGTAAATCATACCTTTTTACCCATCGAGGGCCCTAAGGCGGGCCCCTCGATGCTCATCTGACTGTCATTACATACTTAAAACCCCTGAGCTTCCGGGGGCTCTTCCCCCTGGACCAAACCAAGTGCCCTTAGGCGGGCCCCTGGATGCTTATCTGACGGTAATTAAATAAATAAAACCTCTGAGGTTTCGGGGGCAAAGCCCTTGGACCCCACGCCAATTTACGCTCCACTCGCTGCGCTCTACCTGTTCGTTAATACTCCACTTTTAAAAATGTCCCGTGGGGCCTGCATGTAAGAGTGGTGGTGATGCAGATTTTTCTTCTACCCCTCCCCCCTCAAAAAACAAAAAACAAAAAAAACGTCTCTGCTCATTACGCCACTGCCCCAGGAAGGTGAGCCAGCGTGGCCGGTGAAAAAACAAACAATTATTTTAGGATAGCAGCAAAAATTATGCTAAATCGCCAAAAATTATGCCCAACCCCCAGACATCGAATTTGTTAGGAAATATTTGGCGCCGACTCAGCAAGCCGCTGAATAAGCTGGAAAGGGGAGAGGGGGGAGGGGGGGGGGGGGTGGCATAATGCCAGATGCTAAAAGGGACAAAATTATGCCTGAAAGCATAATTTTGCCAGATCTGGCAACTTGATGTGAGCCCCCTGGAATGTTGCCCCCCCCCCCCCAATCCGAAACTGCTTCCGGCGCGCCTGCTCGCACCTCATTCCTAGGATGAAGGGTTGACACCCCAGCCCGGCATTTGACAAGACATTAATCCGCATTTGCAACTCTCCACCAAGATGTAAATGGGTACCTGGCATTCGCTGGAGTAATAATTGCTGGGCCCTCAGAAAGAGCAGCATTGATGCTGATGAAGCTTCCCTGGGTTAAAATTGAATATTGTGCTCCTTCTTCTTCTTTTTCTTTTTCTCCTTCTTCGTTTTATTCATCTTCTTCTACTTCTCATCATCATCATCATTATCATCACCACCATCATCATCATCCTCATAATTACCATCATCATCATCATCATCATCATCATCATTATTATAATCATCGTCATCATCATCATCATCATCATTTTCATCGTCAACGGTGGTGGTGGTAGAAGTAGTAGTAGTAGTAGTAGTAGTAGTAGTAGTAGTAGAAATACATTTAGTACAAACAAAAGAAGGGTAAATTATTTCCTACTTACGTTGGGTACGGGAGTAATTATGTTGCACACGGTGTCTTCTACAACAGACTTATCTCCAATCATCCCGGTGAATCGTCCATAGTAGCCATATCTCGTTGGGCAAGTATCCCGTGCTCGTCTCAATACATTCACGGCCTCGGCTGGATGGACGAGAATTGCACGAACGAAGGTTTTCCCGACCCATCGTAATGTGAACGATGCCTAAATGTGGTGTCAGATGAGAGATAAAAGATGGCATATATCGTAATACATTTGTAGAGAAGAAATACGATCGCATAAACTTTCGAAAAATTATCCCAAGGCAATTCCAATGACCTTACACGTCACCAATTAAAAGAATGCCTTTGATATCGCATTAACCCTTACTGTACTGGGGGGGGGGGGGGGGCCTGGGAGGCCCCCCCCCCCTCGACATTTTCGGAGATCGCGCCGCAACCGCTCGGAATTTTGAATTGTCGTTTCATGACTTTTTTTCCTCAAGTCTTACGCACATTTTGATACTATTTTCGTCGAAATCGGATATACCTGTAAGGTGTTACATAACAATTAGTATGTGCATGTCATCAAAAAAGTGCTATAATTGCATATATTCATGTACAAGCAGAAATGTGAAGATATGAATTGATATCAAATTGCTTTTATATGTTTCTCAAAGTAACTGGATGTATTTCAGAGCAAAATAATACATTAGCAATAAAACAATAGATATAATAAGAAATGAAAAACAATAAAATACATAAGAAAATAAATAGTTGAAAATCGCATCAAATTTGCATAAATTATCATCATTAATTACATCAAATAACTATTTTGTGTTAGAAAAGAAGTTTCATATGAATAATGAGTTTCAGCATTAAAAAAAGTGGAGTCTGACAATTTTTGTAATGATTCTAGTTCCCTATATATATTTCCAGATTTGATATTCATGAATGCATATTCATAATTTATGCAAATTAACCTATGCATTTTCAAATATCATAAAAATAATGAAACCTCATGAATATGAGATGAAGGAAACATTTATTCAATACATTTTCAAGATTCTTCACAAGTCTACGGACAAATATGGAGAGTTTTCTGTAAAATGCATAAAATTAGCATTTTGCATAATTAATTAGGCTATAACGACAAAAATTTGCATATTAGGAAAAAACTAATTATACCATCTTGGTGACTTGGTCCTTACGTAAATATCTACAAACATGCAAATTTTCGCGTTCATCGGACGTTCGACGGCCGAGATCATAGGGGGGGGGGGGCCTGGGAGGCCCCCCCCCCCCCCCAGTCAGAGAGTGCTCGAAATAGCCCAGTACAGTAAGGGTTAAGAGATGTAGAAAGGTTAGTCGATGATTCTGTCAATGTCAACAAAAGAATGTAAACCATTTTGCTGTGTTTCATAATTACTCGTTAATCATTCAAAGTGAGAAGAAAAAAATCATCTACAATTATGAAGAAAAAAAAACTTACTAGCTCACAACTTGCAAAGAAATGATGTGCATTTTGCCACGTTAAAAACGTCTTTACTCGTAAAACAGTTTAGCGACAGGAGAGCGATGTGCATAGAAGATGGCATGACAAGATTATTATAAGAAATAGGGGGAGAGCCATCATTTCTTTTACGAACCTTGTACTTGCCATCTCCAAGATAAGCAACTTCTCCATCGGCAGATGCACCGGCTTTAAGGTCATTATTGTAGATCCTGACCCGGAAATAATCTCCTCCGTTTACTTTTAATTGATTCTTACTGTCTCTGGCCTCGATGATGACATCCAGACGATCACATATTTGGTATTTCCTTGAGGCATTGATGATGTAAAACGTAGAACTCTTATCGCTCGTAACACCAGCTGTTTCCTTAAAGAATTAAATGAAAATAAAAGCATTTATTATGATAAACAATAATTGTAATATCAATAATGATAATGATAAGAATAATAATGATAATAACTATATCAAGAAATGATGATAATCATTATTACCTAAGGTTGGTCAATTCTGTTGGCCCTGCAATCATCATTACCCTAGCAATTGCCAGGTAGCTATTCAAACCGGAGTGGCCCTATTTGGAAACGATCAAAACAATTTTCCTAAAGAGTCCTGCGTATAATGTTTTTGAAATTCCAATTAAATAATGACAGGGCCCATTTAAAACACATTTGATGCATGAGACGGATAAAGGTGTAATCTTTAAATTTTGTCCATTTTGGGCCACTTTTCGAGGCCTTGTTTTCGCCCTACCTATTTCCACTATCACAGAAGGTACAGACTTCTTACAAATTACTCTGGATAGTCCGAGAGAAACTCTTTCGTGTAGAAACGTAGAAACATGGGTGTCATTGCACGCAAAACGTTTTGACACGATTGCATTTCTGGTTCTTAGAATCAGTATTACTATTCTTCAATCTTGTCCTTATTTTTATAGTTATCTTTTGCAATACGTCATGTGCCCAGGTTTTATTACTGTACTTCATCAAAGATGTCTACCCAAAAATATTTGTTAAATAAAGTAATATCTAAAGAAGATCAAAATAAAGAATAAGGCGGAATATGAAATAGAAAAAAAAGCATAAAGTAGAATATAGAACATATTAAAGATAAAGTTGAGTTCTGGTCATGCAATTGCATTGTGAAAGAAACGGTTTGGAACCGATCAGAAAAGGTTGATCATGTAGCATATATAAGTATTGGTGTGCACTGCAAGGTTTTGGAATAATCAAAATGAGGAGACATTGTCAATACATGTGTTTATCAAAATGACATGAAAACATTAGTTTACTCACGGGCCTTGAAATATTGAGGTGTGGAGTTGTTTGTTGGACGGTAGAAGCATTATATCCTCTAGTACTAGTAGATCCAAAGACCTGTTGGCATATGATAACAGATATTAATTATAACATTGAGAACTGGTCAAGCTTTACAAATGTGTCTCATTTATTAATTATAATTGTGATTAAGTTATGATAAAATATCAATAATTATCGGTTTCTTTTTTTCTAGGACGCACTGTTTATAATATATGAGTTCGCTGATAACACAATCTTCGGCGGCTTGAATCAATAAGCCAGTTCGTAATTGCATGATTCGCATGTTCCAAAATCTGGAACGAACTTTTCCAAATGTCACATGAATATAAGAGAGTTGAGAGAGCAAGCGCGTAACCAGGTGGGGGTTCCTGGGGTGTGCTATGTTAATAATAATTATTATAACTATTATTATTGTTGGTGGTTTTTGTATTCTTGTAATTATCAAGATTATTATCGTTAATATTATTATTATAGTCATTATTTTATTATTGTTATCATTATGATGAAAATGAGCGTGATGATTCCGGTAATGATTAAAATTAGTATTATTATTATAATTATTACTATATCATTAGTATCATCAGTATCATCAGCATAATCATCAATGGCGGTAGTGTGGTATAGTACATGTGAAAGTAGGCCTAGTAGTAGTGGTATCATTCTGATCCTTATTATCCTGATTATCTCCTGCAATACGTCTAGAGAATATAATCATGACAATTGACAATTTGTCATGAATCATTGTCCTTAAGCTTACCATTATATGCATCTGGCTCGAATTTTGCTTGGGTATTTGGTACTGGATGATTAACATGGTAAAATGAACTTGTGTCTTATTCATTCTAGTCTTATTTATTACTATTATGTTTTAGTCTTTCTACAGAGTGAGTCCGAAAAAATGTCTCACTTTTTAAAAGTTGTATTGTTTGAAGTATGAATAATGGTTTCATGATATGTCTTGAGTATTCCTCCAAGTACATTTAAGTACCATTTTCATTTGCATCTCTGCATGCATGACTGAACATCAGACAATATTTACAAGACTGGCAGATCTCACTCGCGCCAAGTTGCTGCGTGAGGAATAAAATAGTGTTTTGAACAAAGACAGCCAGACAGACAAACAAAACACCCAGACGTGTGCGTGTGTGTGTGCGTGCGTGCGTGTTTGTGTGTGTGCGTACGTGTGCGTGCGTGTGTGTGCGTGTGCGCGTGCGTGCGATCAGGTGCAGGAGCCGGTTTATTAGGGACTTTTAGATTGAGTGGACGAGAACACGACGAACGCCGACTGATCATGCGTGTCAACGTACTCAACTGCCCACGTTGACTACAATTAGACATTTTAGATTGCACTCGATGATATACATGCATGCAGGAAGTAACACTATGAACATGACAAAGAAAGAGGACAAAAATATACAGTTCCTCATTCTACCCTCAATAATTGCTGTGGTAGAACATCCCTTCACTGCTATTATATGTAAGAATGTGTAGAACAAGTGAATATGCATGTGACACCTGTTCTCCATATTTTTACATAATAGCAGGGAAGGGATGTTCCTTTGTGTACCTGAGGAACTGTATATTTTATGCGCACGCGGCATGTACCGTACTAGATTGAGGAAAATCAAGGTTGACGCATTCTCGATCGCCGACTGAGACGACGTGACGCATGCGCAGTGCCTTTAAATGACGTCACACGTTGCAGTCAAAGCTGTCGACGTGCAAATCTAAAAGTCCCTATTCATTCATGGATGAGGCATATTATGCAAATTATAGAACTTGGGAAATGATAGCATGATGGGTTCGGTTTGCACGAACAGTTTATACTTTATAGGGATGCCGAACTGGTGTCGTTTGGGGGAATTTGGTTTATTGGGATCGTGTTTCTATTTTTAATTATAAGGTGCGTATTGTGATTAGGTAAGCGGGCCGGTCAATTCACTGTAATGCATTTTAGGAAAACCATTTAACTTAGTTATGACGCGCGGGTTCCGTAATACAACTCAAGGCATTTGTTAAGGGATAAAAGTTCTTTGTAATATATATTTTTTTTTTTTTTTAATTATATTACGGTTATATAACAATACAACGTATTTCTCATCGACTTGTGCAAGAAGAAATGTTTAGAATTGAGATGAGGAGTTCTGTCATTGGTCTAATTAAATTGACAGGGAAAGGGAGAGGCTCTTGCTCTCGGATGTTTACGTATACCGAAGAGCAGATTTGGGTTGTTTTGTGTGGGGGTGTTGTGTGTGAGTGAATATGCTTGTGTGTATGAATGCGTTGGGTTGTGTGGTACGGGGTGGATTCTGCTTACATTTTTTAAATATAATTCGACGATAAGTATGCATGTATTGGCTGCAGATAGTTTTTTTTTATACATTTGCTCACGGTGGAAATAGATTATGTGGAGTTTATCGATGTAAGGTTTTGGTTACAATTACACATAAAATAACATGGCAGTGAAATTATCTTTCATGACCATAAATGTTAGAGGAATAAGAGAGAGATTAAAAAGAGTGAATATTTTTGAACGGTGCAAAACTAAAAAGAATAGTATAATTTTCTTACAAGAAACATATAGTACAGTAGAGATAGAAGAGCGGTGGAAATAAGATTGGGGAGGGCCAATGTTTTTTAGTCATGGGTCAAACCATAGTAGAGGGGTTCTTATTTTAATTTCTAATCATTTAGATTTTGAAGGAAAAAAAGTAGATGAAGAGGGGAGATACATTATTTTTAAAGGTAAAATACAAAGGGTAATAATGCTATTGGTTAATGTTTATTTTCCAACGAGAGATAAGAAACTTTACAAATTGAATTTTTGAAGAAGTTAGATGAAAGTATTTTTGATCAGTGTGATCGGGACTATTTAATTTTATTAGGAGGTGATTTCAATAGTATATTGTAGTATATGGATAAAGATTTTGTTGAAGAGATGAATAAGGAAATACAGGAATTAAAAACAGATCATTCTGGCGTTAGGCTAGAATTTAATGATTTGGTTGATAAGTTTGTTTTGGGGAAATCATATTGGAAATTTAACAGTAGTTTATGTATGGATAAAGATTTTGTTGAAGAGATGAATAAGGAAATACAGGAATTAAAAGCTGAATGGTCATTACAGATTTTGAATAAATTAGTATTTCGGGATTTTTTAAAGATGAAAATGAGAGAATTCATTATAACATACTCGCGGAAAAAGGCAAAAGCAAGGAGGGTTGAAAAAGAATTGTTAGAGAAACAAATCAAGGATTTTAGAAGGCGAACTGGTAGTGGGACCAACTAAATATATTGTTGATTGTATTGAGGAGAAAAGGGATAAACTAAATAAATTGTATGATTTTTCTCGACAGGGCATTAAAATAAGATCAAGAGCAGCTTGGTTTAAAGATGGAGAAAACAATACGCAATATTTTGAACAGTTGTTAAAATCGAATAAAAGGAAAAGTGTAATTAGGGAGGTGTACAAAGAAAATGGGGAAACTACTAGAGATAAGGAGGAAATTTTAAAGGAAATTAAACTATTTTATAAAGATTTATATTCATTAAGGGCTGATATAAATCAAAACGACCCTTTCTTTTTTAATGATATTTCAAAGTTAAGTAAAGACAATAGGGAAATATGTGAAGGTAAATTAACTAAAGATGAATGTTTGAAAGTTTTAAAAGAAATGAAATTGAATAAAACCCCGGGAAATGATGGTTTAACACTTGAATTTTATTATACCTTTTGGCCAGCTTTGGTGATTTGTTTATAGTAGAAGTATTGAATGAAATATACCAAAGGGGGGAATTAACGGCATCTCAAAAACAAGGGGTTATTACCTTAATTGAGAAGGAAGCGAAAGATACTCTCCATATAATACAAATTATCGACCCATCACGCTTTTGAATGTAGATTATAAAATTGTATCTTAAGTTCTAGCAAAAAGAATGAATGACGTTTTAAATGAAATAATTCATCATGATCAAGTTGGATATATAAAAGATAGAAATATTGGGGAAGCTGTACGATTGATAGATGATATGTTATTTTATTCTATGCATTATGGGGAACAAGGGAAAGGGTTTTTATGTGCAGTGGATTTTGAGAAAGCTTTCGACTCTGTATCTCATAGATATTTATTTCAAATATTGAAATTGTTCGGTTTTGGAGATTCATTTTGCTCTTGGGTAAAATTATTGTATAAAGTTATGTTATGAACGGTGGTCACTCCACGGGGTTTTTTGAAATAGAAAGGGGAGTAAGGCAAAGAGATCGTACCGTTGGTGCATAAATAAATAATGTTACATACTTTCATGAGCGCATACCCAGTATTCATCTCTGGTAGGTTTTACCTTTTTGGTACAAATGGCCTTTATCATGCCCATGCGCAGATTGTATTTGTAAACTCCCTTAATTGGTCTGCAATGACCTTTATCTGCTCAGACTGCAAGCTTGGTATTATCTGCCCCTAAATTTCCTTCTCACATCATAAGGTCACGTGATATTGATTCCTCGTTTCTCGTCCGGATTTTCAGATATAATATTAGGGGCTAGTGGTCAGATATTCCAGGTTTCTGATACGGTAAGTTTTGGAGTATTGGATTTAGCACAATTGAACTAACTTCCTATCCCCGAATTTCGTGGGATACGGTTAGCCTTAGAGACAGGCTGAATTAGCATAAATTAAATAGCTTCCTAGCCATGCACTCGGAATAATGCGAGCCAATAATCCAATAAATGGCATATTTCCGTCCTATTCACAGTAAACCGCTTCCATTGTTAGGGTATTAAATAAACAGGCCTACTCATCTAAAATCATCCTTAGTCCATAAGCCATGGTCTTTTTACATTTCATAGCAAAAAAGACGCTTCATTAAAGCTGATGTTGAGCTCTGGTTTGGGAATCGTATGTCAAAAGGACATGGCTATAACTCACACTGGATTATTTGTCCTGCAGTAGCTTGATCGTATGAATCAGTAAAATAAAATAAAAAATAAAAATCGCAAAAACCTGGTGAAAATCATCTGCAATCCGCAAAACCGAACTCTCGTTCGCACCATGTGACGA